GCAATGCGTTAACGTAATACATTACACATTTTATTGTATTGGGACGTGTATGGAGCAATAATAAAAATTCCATTTTGGAACCTAGCAAATATTACCGCAATTTGAATTAAGATGAAAATATTTGTGCGATGAGTCCATAGCGAAGCTTGCGAGATCGTTTCTATATTATCAGTGGAAACAACAAGGTGACAAACACTTGAAAGTATCATTGACCATTTCAACAACCTCGGGCTAAGAATTTCGAGCATCAAAAGTAAAAAACTAGCAACAACAACAATGGAAATAGTATAATGGATAGGACCTCAGAACAGCACAAGTCTAGTTTTATCGGATTCATATGAAAATGACGTGGGTAGCGAGAAAGTAAAAGGCGATGTTGAAACGTGACTATGAGACCTCGTTCAAAGAAGTTAAAAGAGATAAAAATCTCATATTGTCGTTGTAGTATGAAAATACGTCGAGGGTTTTAGGACCTCAAGTTCGAGTTTCATACTCGACACGATAAACATATAAGCAAGTGATTGAGTCACTACTTCTGATGTATGAATACATTCATACATCTTGCAAATGTACTGCTATGTATCCTCGCTCCTTGGTATTACTGTCGTGTCGTGCTGGGGTATTGTATTGACATTACCGTTGTACATAGTGATGATCAAGAAGGTCAAGTGAGGATCCGGATCCGGCAGATCCGATTGGTAGAGCAGCTCCATCGGTAAATGAGTAAACCTATGAGAAAACACAAATCGGACCAAAAGTATAAAATTATGCAGGCCATATTTAAGTTATACTTATACCTTTACGCAATTCACAATAGAAAGTACAATTTGTGACTACATCTACGCAAAACTTGTACTTTTTCTTGGATGAGTAAAGCAATTGACTATCTAGTCTCCACGATTTTATACGTTTTGGTCCGATTCGGGTTTGCTTTTTGTTTTAGTCAACTCCGGTGGAGATGCTCTTAGAGCATCTCCACCGGTTGTGAGTAAGAGTAAAAGCAAAATACACAGAAATCGGGTCTGCAACAACACAACACTGCAATAACCAGTGCTGAGCTCCACCGGTGGTCTCCGAGTGATGTGACTAAACGCAAACAAACCACGCTTCCCCCAGAACATGAAAGATGAGAGCACAGCTCTGGCATGCATTCGTGAGCTCCATGACGATGATACAAGTGCTTTGATTGTGGTGATGCTTGCCTATGCTGCCCAGAATGACGAGCCTCCTCGTCCACGAGGTTCTGTCGCCGGGCGAAAGCCAAATTTTGACCGAGGCGCAGAGGACGCTCATGACCGACTCATACGTGATTATTTCGCTGAGTTCCCAGTATACAGCCCCGCCTATTTCGTCGCCGCTTTCGAATGCAAAAGTCGCTGTATCTACGAATCGTCAACGCCATCGAAAGCCACGACAGCTACTTTCAGCAGCGACCCGATGCAACAAATTGCAAAAGTGCACCGCTGCCATTCGCCAGCTTGCCTATGGCGTACCTGCTGATGCTATGGATGAATATGTTCGCATTGGTGAGAGCACTGCCGTGGAAAGCGTGCTGTGCTTCTGTGGTGCTGTCATCGACTTGTTTAGAGAGGAGTTTTTGCGGGCGCCGACGGATGCCGACGTGCAACGCCTTCTCACCCTGCATGCGCAGCGTGGATTTGTGGGAATGCTTGGAAGTTTGGACTATATGCACTTGGAGTGGAAGAATTGCCCGGTGGCGTGGGTAGGGAAATAAAAGGGTAAGGAGAAGAAGCCAACGATTGTTTTGGAGGCGGTCGCGTCCAGTGACTTGTGGATCTGGCACGCTTTTTTTGGCATGCCTGGTTCTAATAACGATATCAATGTGCTCGATCGTTCTGATCTTTTCATTGATGCCACCAACACTACTGATGTTTTCGTTCATGCCAATGCAAGTATCTATCCTCCTTGGGGCACATTAGTTCAAACGATCTCCAACCCGATCAATAACAAGCCGAAGTACTTTGCTAAAAAGCAAGAAGCTGCTCGGAAAGATGTAGAGAGGGCGTTTGGAGTTCTACAAGCGAGATGGGCTATCGTAAAAGGACCTGATCGGTCTTGGAGCTATTCCAACCTCGCTGTAATAATGAAGGCCTGCATAGTTCTTCATAACATGATCGTGCAAGATGAGCGAGGAGAAAGCTTCCTGTATGATTACGACGGGGCCAGTGATGTTGCCCTTCTACCGCGAGGACTCAACCGCTTTGATGAATTTGTTGCACGACACCAACAAATTCGCTGCGAAACGAAACACAATCAATTGCAGCACGATCTTGTAGAACATTTGTGACAACTAAAAGGAAGCCGCTCTGTTTGGTTCAATCAAATTTGGGTTACGAATCTAACGTCGGCGCTCTGTTCATGCTTAAGGAAACGTATCAAGATGTTGGAGTAGTGAACCCCCGCTACCACGATTTTGACACCATGGAGCAAAAGTTACGTATCGCGAAGTCATTTGGAGCAGACGCCCCAGGTTTGAAGTCTGTCGTCAGCGTAATCAACTGATTCTTAGCTAGCTCTTTTTGGAGGTCGGCTAATATCTGCTCTTGTTTCAGTTCGTAGTACCTTCGCTGCGTTGCGGTCATGCCTTCTAAATTGCGCGCCATTATTTGCTCACTCGTTGCCTCTTTCAGCAGGCGATTTTTTACTTCCGTTTCTTCCGCTAACTTTGCCACTATCGACATCAGACTGTGCTCAAGCATGAGTGTCTTCTTTGCTGCCTTTTGCCTAACCGGCCGTTATAAGTTGGTTTCACCCTCATCTGCATCGGTGTCGCCACAATTTGCATCTACATCGGTACGCTTCAGACATTTTCTCTTGAGGCCAAGCGTAGCAATCCATTTCGGAGCATGGCATAGCACAGACCACACTCCTTCGCTCCGGAACGGGCCTCTATTTTGCTCTCTATAAAGAACATGAGCCTCACGAACTTGATCTTCTAACGTTTTGCCACTCTCATTGCGCGCAACTATCGCCGCATAACAACCTGCAAATTTACTGCACGTAGCTTGCAGCGTCCTCCATCTCGTCTTCAAACTTGTTGCAGCTCGCGAGTCCTCCTTTACATCAGACTCAGTGCGCTTCATCCGTTTGAGGAAATCAGCGTGCACTTTTGCCCAGAAAGTCTTTTGGTCACCACCGATGATGGGATCCTGGGCAACTTCCAGCCAGGCAGCCGCTAAATTAAAGTCTTCGTCTGGCCCAAAGTTCTTCCCCTTTTTCCTTGTATATAATGCTAGCAGAACCTCACCAGTGTCTTGGGAGCTCTCTGCTGTCGTAGGGCTGGGCTCACAGGTGGCAAACTAATCCTGGGTGAGGGGTGGCGTTGGTGCTAGTGAAGACGAGAGGGTCGTCGTAGGTGTTGCTATCGGTGTGATGGGTGATGTTGGTGTTGGTGTGGAGAAATGCATGACTTGCGGGGTGTTGGGTCTTTAGCTAATTGATTGGCCTCTGCGCAACGATTTACACAGTGCCAGAATTTGAGCAAATATGCTCAAAATCTGGCCTTGCGTATGTTTCTGAGCAATATAGTATAGCTTTATGCAAACCGGTGGAGATGCTTTAGAGTAAAATCATGAGTATTTTTGAGGTAACAAGGGCCAAAATTTACTCTTACTCACAACCGGTAGAGATGCTCTTACGGCTAATATTTATTCTTAGGTTTCAAGTTGAGGGGGATTCACGGAGGTGAGAATTGGCCAGAAATCTGGTATATGTTTTAGAGGCACTTTTGAAGCTGCTATACTTTCCCCATACACAATGTAGGACGATAATTCTTCGCCACTACGGAAAGAGAAAGGATCTATCTTACTACGCATACAAGTAAAATTCGTAATTAGCAATATTGATGCGAAGACGGCCCAGTAAAATTTTGTCCTATCTTTTATTCTATAAGCGGGCAAAGTAGGTTTAGATTACTTGAGTGACGATAGGTTTGGTATGAAATTTCAGAGCCTCGTCATGTATAACACGTCTATGTTGGAGAATTAGACTTGCAATAATAAAAATAGTCTGTCATCAGTCGAAAACAGACCAGCCAATCCTGAGACGAGGCGATGTTACCGGTCCAGTTGCACTTCAACTGATTGAAGTTGGTCTGTAGAGTCACCGTGAGGCGAAACCAGTTGGTCTTAGCTTGCCCAAACGTAGTGTATGCACGAATACGTGCTGGGTCATCGTTGGCGTGAACGTAGTGTTCCACCCGAACAGGAACGTCCTTGTGTGAACGACTCCAACGTTCCCATGACTCCTCCTCATTCTGCAAACAATCCTAATACACCATGTTCTGCCAAGTGCGATAATCCTTGCTGTGGTTCATGATGTCCTGAACACCCAGAACCATTCCCCGGTATGCAAAATGAACCAGCATTTCTGGGCGAGTGAGAGTGAATCGCCGAACCCACGGCCACGACATGTGCCGCGGGGGGAGCAAGCGGAAACGGCTACGAATCAGGAAGCTCGCAGTGACGTACCAACAGATGGAATGCCAAACCCCGTACCTGAATCGATGTCGATGCAACAGTTGATGTTATGGATTACTCCACAGCAACAAATGTATCAAAATCAGATGCAAATCCAGTTTCAGATGCAAATGCAACAAGCGAATAGTCGGTTTGACTTCACAAGGCGATAGACGTAAAAAGGATCCTCCAACATATGATGGGAAATTTGGTGAAGACTTAGAACTGTGTAGTTTTGCTACAGAAGAATACTATGTCAACAAACGAGGGTTAAAGTAAGCCTATACGTCCGATTTTGTGACCATGATCTCAAGTAGTTTAGGCAAGTCTGGACTTAACTGGTATCGAGCTTTCTCGTCTGATTGTGAAGCTGCAACAACGCCTAAGACCTGGGAACTGTTCAAGGTAAAATTGCGGGAACGTTTCAGTCCTAAGGACTTTGAGTACAACCTACGTGAGCGTCTGTTTCAGTTGAAGCAACAATGAACTATCCATGAGTATGTATTTTCGTTTCAGGACTTGATGTCTCAATCTGAATTAGAGATTTCTGAAATGGAGAAGCGGTTCTACTTCCAGAATGGACTTCGTGCTGAAACAGCTAAGAAGGTGAAAGAATTCAGTCCAAGGTTCTTGCATGAAGTCATTAAAATTGCCACGAACTTTGATATGGGGTCCAGTCGGCAAAAGTCAATACGGGTCCAGCCACTTCGAAGCCATCTACAAGCTCCAAACCACCCCACGGGAATCCGAAATAGTCGATGGATCGGAAAATACTTCAAAAGGTGGTTCGAGAGATGAGCGGACTAAGACTGACACTTGTCATAATTGTGGGCAGCTGGATCATATCAAACGCAATGTAAATCGACCAAGGAAACCAATCATTATGTGAGTGTGTCGTTCTACGTAATTCTCGAAGTAAGTGCGTGGGCTTCGAAGCAGTCGGAACTGCCGACCGCAGTGTCTAGTTTTGTAGACAATGGCAGCAGTCTAAACGGAGTCATTGAAGAATTAGCAAATCAACTTCAGCTGGACATTATTGAACATCCACACAACTTAATGACGGTTATGTTGGGCTACAACCAGGCCGTACAACGTCCAAAGCGTACAGTCGAGATGAAACTCCAAATCCCTAATTTCCCGGAAACGTGTGAGGCTTTCACGGTCATGCCTGTGCCAGAAGGAAAAGACGTTGTGCTGGGAATGAAGTGGTTGCAAGAGAACAATCCTGACATTGATAGGGAACGTTTGTTGTTGCGTCCTCGAACCACTACCAATGGAGCCACATTTGCAGTTGGTTCTTCCTATGCGTCCTCCCGCTCGTATGATAGAGGTTCATCATTTCAAGAATGCTCGTCAAGACCGTGAGATAATGCATTACTATAGACAGCATGGACACTCCGGAGCATTTGACGAGACTAAAATTAATTCGTCAAAGCATTTTCTCAAAGAACTACGCAAGGGCAAGTGCGCCGAAGCGGTGTTTGCTGTTAATCCACACGACTCTGAAAAGGCCGAACGTTTTAACCAACAAGGATGGGACGCGTTAGTCGAAAATCCAGCGTATGAAGCCCTGGTCAAGTACCGCGATACGGTGTTTCGCACTGAACTACCTAGTTCGACCCCTCCCGATCGTGAGGGCATCGAACATGAAATTCAGCTCTACCCTGGAGCACAATCTATTTCGGTGAAGCAATGGCGCCAAAGCCCTAAACAACGCAAGGTGATTCAAGACTGGACAAAAGAGATGGTTCAGGCTGGAATAATTCGTCCCAGCACATCGGCATTTTGTGCGCCTACGTTTTGCGTTAAAAACCGGTTGGGTGGCGCATTGTCCACGATTATCGCCAACGTAACAGTGCAACTATTTTTGCCTGCTACTTCAATGCCCAGGAAGGAAGACACGTTTGATGCGATGGGAGGTAGTTGTTGGTTCTCCTGTATGGATCTACAATAGTGGGGATACTATCAAGTCAAACTACGTGAATCAGATATTCCATTACGGCGTTTTCGACCCCCAACGGTCTCTTTGAGTATCTTGTCACTCCAATGGGTTTGAGTGGAAGCCTTGGCACGTTTAACCGTTTGATACAGCGTGTTTTTAGTGACTTGCATGATGTCATGCGCATATACTTTGATGACATTTACGTGTACACGCAAGATCAAGATGTCCAGAAGCATGTAGATGCTCTGGAGCGAGTGCTTATGCGCTACCAAGAACAGCAATTGTATGTGAAGCTGTCAAAGTGCCAAATTTGTGCTAAAGAAATCCCTTGTCTTGGTGATTTCGTTGGTCGTAACGGTGTGCGCATGGTTCCAGACAAAGTACGTATTATCAAGGAATGGCCCGTGCCACGGACCAAGAAACAGATGGAAAGTGTTTTTGGGTACGACAGTGTATGTCTCAAGTTTTTGCGCTGATTTTGCACAGTTTGCAGGCCCGTTGCATGAGAGTACTAAGGGTTTACGCCCGAAAGAAACCTTGCATCTTACTGATCATCAACTTAAGTGTTTCGACGAACTTAAACGTCGACTTTCAACACTTCTAGTATTACAACTTCCTGATTTCGACAAATCATTTGCTATCCGCATGGATGCCTCAAACTTTGCCATAGGGGGAGTTTTGTTTCAAAACGAGGGAGGGTTGGAACATCCAATGGCATATACTGGTCGGAAGATGAAACCTGTGGAACTGAACTATGCTGTCCGAGAACAAGAACTGCTAGCTATCATGCATGCACCTCGGGTTTGGCGCGTGTATCTACTTGATCGCCCATTCACATTCGAGACTGATCACAAGAGTATTGAGACTATCTTGACGCAGAAGACAACAAACCGTCGTGTTGCTCGATGGTTTAATGAGCTCGCGGAATTCCATCCCCAATTCAAGTGGATTCCTGGGGACAGTAATCAGGTGTCAGATGCAGTGTCTTGAAACCAATTGTTTGAGCATAATACCGCGCAGGTTAGCTTAAGTGAACTAATTGAAGCTGCGCGCAACAGGGAAATAGTTGCCAGTATCCAGACTACGAGTGTTACAGTAGCCCACTCGGCTAAACAACTTTACTCTACGGACATTCGTGTTCAAAAGATATTGCAGAGTATAGGTAGTGGTAAAGAGGTACCACGATATTCTGTGAACAATGGAGTACTTTACTACCAAACACGCGATGGTGTAAACTCGCGACTGGTGATTCCGGATAATGAAGATATGAAGAACCGTATTATTTGTGAAAACCACGACGTGGTCACGGCAGGTCACCCTGGGTACTTCAAGACATACTTAGGTGTCCAGAAGAAGCACTACTGGCTCAAGATCTCAAAGTATATACAGCGCTACGTGAACATATGCGAGCTTTGTCAGCGCAATAAAGCACGCCAAACAAAGCCTCCTGGACTCCTTCAGCCATTGGAGATTCTAGAAGGGTTGATATTTCGATGGCCTTCATGACTGCATTACCTCGAACAACAGCTGGGAAAGAAGCCGTTATGGTTATCGTGGACCGTTTGACAAAACGCGCAAAGTTCATCGCAACCAATACGACGGCAACAGCAGAAGATACTGCTACGCTGTTTATGGTCAACTATGTAAAAGACCATGGTGTGCCTAAATCGATACTTTCGGACAGAGATTCGAAATTCACGTCTAAGTTTTGGCAAGACGTGATAACGACGCTAGAATCGACGCACCAAATCGTCTGCATTTCGCCCGCAAACTGATGGTCAGACCGAACGTACAAACCGGTTTGTCGAAGACTACCCACGAGGTGTTATCAACCCCGTCCAGAATGATCGGGATGGATATTTGCATCTAGCAGAGTTTGCCTACAACCGAGGTGTTCACTCATCGATCGGAATGTCACGTTTGAGGCTGATCTGGGTTATGTGCCCTACATGTCTGATGATGTAACAAGGGACTCAGAATTTGACCAGCTAAATAAGACAGCTCAAGAATTCCTTGTGAAGCAAGATGCACTTTTGAAGATGGCGCAAGATGCGATGGGTGAGACCCAGACGCGTATCAAGTCGTACTATGACAAGAATAGACTTGCTCAGCACTTCAAAACGGGAGATTTAGTACTAATTGATGCCGAAACTTGGATATTTGCCACAAAGGGTTTGCTCAGGCAAAGAAACTTGCATCAATGTTTTTGGATCGTACCCCATTGTGAGCAGGTTCAGAAAGACTAACCATAACGAGATCACGGTACGCCTTCGCAAAATAACACTTTGTCAGCGCGTTGTAGGTTGATCGAATTTGTAAATAAAGCCATCAAAATGTATTATATAAAATCATTCCTATATTGGTGTTACTACAGTAGGAGAATCTATTTTGATCCATGTCTCAATCACGTTACGTAGATTCAGGGAAATCACAATCAAATTTTCAACAACAAAAACGAATGCTGCGTCTGCGCAGCAGAAACAGAAGATACCCCAAAACAATTAGAAATTTATGTCAAGCACTCGAGCTAAAAATACTAAATCACTGCAAATGCAATCAATATCTACGCCAGTCTTCACGTAGCCGTAGTTAAAATAATCTCACTTTTTTAATTTTTAAAAAATTGAAAAATACTTAATGATGTGGGAAACAAAGGCTCTGAGATTTAGAACGTGCCATTAATATTTACAGCTGTGTATAATTGACCGCAAATAAGCTTCAAAGTGTTTAAACGCTTGTTATCCTTGAACGCCGACAGACCTTAACGATTGTATTTTTGGGGCGTCTCCTGCGCCTGCTGCGCAGCCGCAGCGTATACCCTTGTTGTTGCTGAAACTTAATTGGACATTAGGGCTATAACTGCGCAACATTCATCTCTTCTAATTTACTACTTACCATTCGTTCGTCAACCACCCCTTTCAATTGGCTAGTAAATTACGGTCTTAGCTGAGGTGGACGACACAGACAACATTGCGGTAATTTATTAGGATAGACGAGTATTAAATTTCAAAACGCACACCAGGGCTAAACCACCTGTCATTTACGATCGCAGACTACTTTAATAGGGAAACGGTATTTTTCAAAATCATGCCATTTGTGCGATCCACACCTAAACTCTGAAATAAATTTCAGAGAATTGCTTGGTAAATAATGTTGCACGAATGTAATTTATGTTTTTAGGCTACAAGCAGCAGCGAGGGTTACGCACTTCCAAGCTACAGCCATGTCGTCGACGCGGCCGATCCCCATCGGAGGCAACGGCAGCCAGCGCAGTTCCCCCGTGACGCGCAGTCCCAACATGAACAACGGCGCGATGGTGTCGCACTCGCTGCCGGCCGACATGCACCACGTCCACCTCTCGCGCTTCTTGACGAATTCGAACGCCGTAAGATCCGGCGGACTGCAGCCGCCCAGAGCGCCGCGGGTGGGCTCCATGCCCGATCCGAACTTCCTACCGCTGGACAACATGCCCGACTTAGCGCTGGGTCCGCCTGCCGAGACCATCGAAGATGATTCGCCGCCAGCTCGTCCACCCGCCGTCATTCAGGTCCGCGGAGTTGCTGTATTTGGTGGGTTTTATCCGTGTTCTAATGGGGTTTTGACGTGGTTGTTTGGTGAAATTGCAGTTTGCTAGCTCGTGTCCAGGAGACATTGGGTTTTTGAGGAGCAATCCGACCAGTGCGTCCTGGACGCCGTCGCTGGAGCCCTATGTGGCCGAACACGATGATTTTGATCTGTCGAAAAGTCCGGCTCTAGCAGCCATAACGGCGTTGAGAGAGAGGATGGAGTCTGGAGGAAATGGCAACGAAGGAACTACACAACAGGGCAATGGCTCCCGGTCTTTTAGCGCCCGAGCAGCGGCAGGAACACAGCCCACGAGGCATTATTATGCGGCAGATGAATCGGCAACTTTTGCCGTGAGTGCGGAGCTTCTGGAGAGACTGAGCATTACGTCAGAGGAGGAAGGAGAAGACGCAGAAGACCGGGATGAGCGCTATAGGATGCCGGGTTACAATTCGCAGATTCCAACAGACCAGAGACGGCGGTCCGAACGGCGCGGATCGTATGGCAATGTGTCGGATACTGGGGATACGGGCATCTTTGAATTTGACGATCAATAGACTCGGCAGCAGAGATAAACAACAGAAAAACGGGAAAACAAGTGAAAAACAAGAAGGTTGGCTTGTACTCTAGTATTTATGATACCTTCAGCATTATGTACAGCTGAGATCCGCCTGGTATTGCCAAGTGCCTATAAAGAAAGAGTTTATCGAGTATCGAGACAGGCAGGTTGCCACTACAGTGTATTACACTTGGATCTCGTTCATGTAGCGTGCTTACCACCGTATCTTTGTACTAAACTCATCTGGAGACCAAAGCGACAGTGAAACCGTTATCGATCGCAGTCTGCGATATCTAGGGTGAACTTGACCTAAGCGTTTGACTCCATGGCAATGGAGTGGTAATAGAGTCAAACGCTAAATCCACTCCATGTTGCACAGCATTGCTGTAGCAGCTACAGCGCATTTGTCAAGGGATAGTGCACAGTCTTGGACCACATCCTGGCAGGATGATCCTGTGTCCGACGTCCTTGGGTCCAGCTTGACATGTACAAGCCGACAAAAGGCAGTTGTGACGCTGACCTCTTCGCATACTCCGGATGTTGGCGGCCTCTTAGTCTCGTCTGGGGTGAGCAGGACGCAACCAGCGTACCATACAAAGTGGTGGCTTTGATTTTTGTTGTCGACGAACTGAAAACGATGGTTTTGTCGAGCCACAAGCAGTGGATTTTCTGTGCGAACATTTGTCTCACTTGAAGTTACACCGTATTTGTTATCACAGGTCTGTACTGCTAGTAAATTGCACGATTTTCAGACATGCTACATTGTTCAGACAGGTTATCTAATTTAAAGGTACTGCCACGCCATCCGCACAAAATAAGAACCCGTCGAACAAGAATCTGGTTCGGCGAGGCGACGATGCACAAAATGCACCCACAGGTCAATCAATCTGTTGCCGGTTCACTTCCATTCTGGACGGCAAGTAACCATTGCAGCACATGATAGTGGACGCGAATCGAGAGCTGCGTCTGCTACAGCTATCCGACGCACCGCCGCACGAGCTCGTGCAGCGCACCAAGACGTTCCCAGTCATTAGGTCCCAGCCAAATGCATCCGCTCGCTGGCAACAGCTTCGCTCTCACATGGGCCAACTCACGCGTGGCATGAAGCGCTGCCGACTGCGGGAGAACAGTGAACTCACATGCAGCGCTTCGCTGTTGCACAGAGATTTCTGGCTGGAGGCTCTGGACGAGCAGCATCGCTACGGATTCCACCTGCGAGCCTTCCACAAAGTCTGGAAGCACGAGATGACAACAGCGCCTAGAGATCGCTGGACTGCGGAGTCTTCTTTTTTTCACTGGCTCGATCACGGCCACGGCAAACATTTGGAGTTGCCGGAATGCACGCAACAGGAGCTGCGCACCACGCGCGTTGAGTACTGCGACACTGCACAGCGCAAGGAGTACGAGATTCAATTTGTACCGGATGGAGAGCAGGTTAGAGTGCAGTATGCAACATCAGGACGCATGGTGCACACAGACGAATGCAGCAAATGGATTTTCGTGCTGGATGTTTCGGGTCGCTTGTTTCTCGGTCGGAAGCGCAAAGGGCGCTTCCACCACTCGAGCTTCGTGTCGGGTGCGCCAATCATCGCAGCAGGCAAGATCATCATCAAGAACGGCGTTATCATCGCTATCGAACCTCACAGCGGCCACTACAAGCCGGCGTTAGAAAACCTCTTGGCATTGTGCTCTATGCTAGCTACCCACGGCGTGGATATTAATGACGTCGCCTTCATCAAGCCCAAGAAATGGACCTGTGCTTGGCCATTTCCGCCGCAACCGGACCTCGAGCTGGAGGATTTTGCCACTGCTTCCGATACAGACTACGGCGCAGATAAATCTGACTCGGAAGAGCCGCATACACTGGTGTTGGAGCAGTAGAGTAGAGAGAAGATATGTAGCGTTTGTATTTATCGCGAATTCGTTTCGATTCGAGCCTCGAATAAATGCCCTATGAAGTGGATCATTAAAATCTTATCGCCGCTTATACTCGCACGCTTTGAACTCAATCGGACCCACGTTTTGAGGCTTGCGCGACGACTTGGCAAACTCGAACAGCACGAACATCTTGTTGCGCTCGTCCTTGTGCTGGCAGTCAAAGCCCATTTTACGCAGAATCTGCACAAAGCCTTCAATCCCGCCCAACGACTCGTTCTCAAAGCGGCTCTTCACCTCAGCAACCTTCAGCACACCTCCAGGCTTCAGCACACGGTACACTTCACGCACATACTCGCGTACACTCGTTCCCATGAGTGCCAAGCAGTAGACCCCAATGTCCACACTACTATCCTGCAACGGAACCTACTCCATCAACACAGAAACCATCAGCCAGAGCATCTTCAACCATACACTCAGTCCTTACATCAGCAATATTGCACGCCGT